CAGTGAATCTTTAAATCTGTTGTTTTTTGTTAAGTTCGTTATTTAAACATATGTATGTAATACACTCATATTAACACTAATCATATTTTTACGTTTTTATTCATCATTTTCAATGCCCCCCCGGTTGCATCTTTGTAAAGGACTGTGAATTTTTTGAATTGATTTGTATTGTATGATATTTTATATTATTTGTATAGTTTTTTGCGCTTTTGTTTGTTTTGAAAATGCTTCGTCGATGAAGCTATTTTGGCTTTTTGTAAAAGCGTTGTTTATTTATTATTATTTATTAAATATGCTTGTGGTTTGTTCAATTCGTTTACGAGTTTCTTTTATGTATTCATGCTTTTGTTAATAATTGTTTCTGGATCCTTACATTTTATTACCCTTTCAATCTATTTATTCAATGAACTATGTGTACAAAATAAATTGAATAAATATATTGGAGTGCTATACTCATCCTTAAATCCATAGCATGTATTTGTTATGTTTTATAGATTAATTTAAAAATAAAAGTGCGAGGGAATTTACAGCTTCGGTACAGCACAATTTAATAATAGACACGCTCTAATTTTAGGGTTTAATTTGAATAGCCAAGGCGCAATTCCAAATTCTATATCGGTTAGTCATTTAGAATTAAAAATTGTTTTGACAGCGGTGGGAGATAAATATACATGAATACATTCGTAACCTTTTCCCAAGAGCTCATTGTTACTGCGATGCACTCTCTTAAAAAAACGTTGTAACATTGATAAAAAAATTGGTTAACGTTGTAATTTGTAGTTGAATTTTTGTAATTCTTTAGAATGGAATATAGAGGGAATTCGAGTGAACTATTCTTGTAATGCCATACTCTGCACAGAGCGTAGGCGACTTCATGGGACCTACATTTTATCGCCGAATCCCAATGGAACAACATTTTAAAACTTAAAAGGTTTTGATGAAAAATATGTATCAGGTAAAAATTATGTTAAAATAATGATTATATTAAGTGAAAAAGAATTACAGAAAAATATAATATGATTAAAGGTATTGGAAATAAAAAGTAAAGTAAATATGGCCACTACTTTATTTAAATATTCATTTCTATAGAACTATACGATTAGAACGAGTGATAAATTATAGAATTTATGCGATGGTGCGCTCTGTATATATTTAAATCACACTGTGTCTATTTAAAGTAATACCATTATATAAGGTAATGGAAGGTTTGTAATGAAATTTAAAATCCAAATCATATTTTTTAAATGTTAAACTGACATTAAAACAAAATCACTATAAACAAAATCCATAAAGAAGTGATTTAAGACTGAAGATATTACTATAAAATATATTAAATTGCACATTAGGTTGGAACTTATTTGTTCAGATGTTTATGATCTTTCCGCGCTATCTATCCTTTACAGCGGTAAGAGGAGATGGTGTTGAGTAGCTCTAGACTTTTTCAGCACACAAACTGGTGTCGGAAAAGGACATCCCGATCAAATATAGTCACGCTGACACTTAAAGGCTAATTCTTAAAGTAGACATGCCTCGGAGAAACACAGGAGGCTTCAATTCCCGTACTAAACACATGCGAAGTACTATTTTCCTACTAGGAAAACATGGGGACCTGTGCGGGGATCCTAAAAAACGTGAAACTTAGTACCCTGGTTTAAAAGAACACTATAAACTCATCTCGAAATATTTCGAGGGCTTATGTGATTAACAAATCCAGTCTTTCCTCTATCAAACATTCTGGGAGTAAAATAAACAAAAAATGCGTCAGAAAGCGTACCACATATGGATATCTTAGGTTAAGTTGGACTGCAAAACTCTATCCTTAAAAATATACAGTAAAAATACCGCATCTGCAAGAGACAATATCATGTTTTTATATAGGTATACAGGGTGAGTTTCCTACGATGCTCTCTATGGACATCTCGGAAACTACTGGAGATAGAGAGTCGGTTAAATGGGGAAAGAATTGCTGTTTTGTGGGGTCATAAATATGCGCCTTTCAGATTTTTGAAAAAGTTCATGGTTTACTAGATATTTCGAAAAAAACTAATTTTGGCTATTTTAAAAATTGTCCCAATTCCATTACAATCTATTTTAGACAAAAAGTGTTCAGATAAAAGTTGTAGATAATCACATTCCTAATGAGTTTGTGTTCTCCGATTTTTCATAAAACCTGTAATTTTTGACATATGACACAAACGTACGTTTTTTTAAATGGAAACCATAGTTGGCTATGACTTCATAAAAAGCGCCAATTTTTAAGCTTTTCAGCAATGTAAGCTATAATATGTTTCTTTCACAAAACTACTGAGTTATAGCCAATTCTTATCTTTCTTGACTAATTTCACTTAGTTAGGCATGGAAACAAGTTCAATCGTCGTTGCTCTCAGAAATGTGAAATTGTGTCACATCCAATCTTTGTAAATTAAAATAAACAAAAATTGTAAATAAAAATTTTTCAAATGAAGAAAAGCGTGTAGGATTATTTGCTCAACTTTTCTTGGCCATACAGGATACTTTGACCGGTGAAAGTTACTTACGTTTTTTAGAGAACGGTTTTCAATGGTGTTCAATTTTTTTTTGATTTATTACTTATAAAATGACAAAATATGTTATTAAACGGCCCTTTACAATTTAGATTACACAAACTAAAACTCAAAAAAATAATATCACTAGGTACACTTTAAGTTATTTTAGAAAATGTTCAAAAAATCCGCAATTATTTTGAGTACATAAATGCATCTTTTTAAAACTGAATTTCTAGCTATTGTCACAGAACGACCGGTCGACTTAATTAAACTTCTTCTGTTCCGCCTCTTCGAATGCCTCTCTTAATTCATAAGTATTTTTGAAAAACTTCTTCTGTTCCGCCTCTTCGAGTGCCTCTCTTAATTCATAAGTATTTTTGTAAACCTTGTTGTTAACCATACCGCATAAAAAAATCTAAAATGGATAGGTCAGGTGACCGAGGAGACCCATGCAATTGGTCCACCTCCCTGAGTCTACATAATTATGATATAAATAATTTTTTAACTACCATTTCTTTCATTGTAGAGGGGGGGGGGAGGGGTTGGTGCGTCATAATGAAGTCATGTAAGAGAGTTCCAACATAAGTCATGTTGGAACCACTGTATTAATGCGCGAGTATCTAAATTTAACTTTTCTAACATTTCTTGAAAACCGTTTTCTAAAAAACGTAACGTTCGCCGGTCAACGTATCCTCGAAACTGTATGGCCAAGAAAAGTTGAACCAATAATTCTACACGCTGTTCTTCATTTAAAAAACTCTTATTTACAATTTTTGTTTATGTTAATTTACAAAGATTGGATGTGACAATTTTACATTTCTGAGAGCAACGACGATTGAACTTGTTTCCATGGCTAACTAAGTGAAATTAGTCAAGAAAGATAAGAATTGGTTATAACTCAGTAATTTTGTGAAAGAAACATATTATAGCTTATATAGTTAAAAAGCTTAAAAACGGCGCTTTTTATGAAGTCATGGCCAACTATGGTTTCCATTTAAAAAAACATATGTTTGTGTCATATGTCAAAAATGACAGGCTTTAGAAAAAATCGGAGAACACAATGTCATTAGGGATGTGATTATCTACAACTTTTATCTGAACACTTTTTGTCTAAAATAGATTGTAATGGAATTAGGGACAATTTTTAAAATAGCCAAAATTTGTTTTTTTCGAAATATCTAGTAAGCCATGAACTTTTTCGAAAACATAAAAAGCGCATATTTATGACCCCACAAAACTGCAATTCTTTCCCCATTTAACTGACTCTCTATCTCCAGTAGTTTCCGAGATACCCATAGAGAACATCGTAGGAAACTCACCCTGTATATATTTAGATAATTCCTTTCTAAAATAATATAAACTGCTATTAATTGTAATTAATTTTTCGTTTATTCGAATTTTAGATGCTTACTTAGTATAGTCTAAATAAAAATAACTATTTCTTTTATTTGTCAAATAGAAATAAATTTACTTCGATGCCATTTCTTTAGATAAACCGGTAAGATAAACTTAAATAATCGCTTTTAATTTAGTTTCACACGAAATGCAGCTTTTTGTACCTAAATAACCTTTACCGTTTTTTTCTTGGGGACATTGACAGTCTGTTGACCTTGCTCATAGGTTTATACCGTTGTTTTGATATACTGAAGCTCTCTCTCTCTCTCTCTCTCTCTCTCTCTCTCTCTCTCTCTCTCTCTCTCTCTACTCTCTCTCTCTCTCTCTCTCTCTCTCTCTCTCTCTCTCTCTCTCTCTCTCTCTCTCTCTCTCTCTCTCTCTCTCTCTCTCTCTCTCTCTCTCTCTCTCTCTCTCTCTCTCTCTCTCTCTCTCTCTCTATTTTGGTTTATGCCATGGAGTTGAGCTATTGAGTATTTGACATGTGCTCCGTCAAAGGCCAAGCATCCCACGAAACTTCAAAACTTTGATTTTTCTGATTGTAGCAACTTTCAGGTTCCAGGATTCCACTCCATATAAGAGCACAAAATAAATGTAGCACTTGATCATACGATATCGGTGTTCAATGTTAGATGTATAAAAACGAGAAATTTTTTTTTATAGATGGGAAACGCCTTTAGGGCCGGAGTGTGGGGATCTCCCTCATGCGAGAGGGTCTACCCACTAAAAACCCATCTGTGCTCTAAGCTCGCCAATCTCGGTACCGCCGAAGGCATTTCATCAAGATTAGAGACTTATCATACTTCTATGTTGGTCTTGTCTGTACCCAGATCTTGTCTTTTTCGTCCTTCGCCTTTTTCTTTATAATGTTCCTTAACATACCGCAAATCGCTTCGATATTTCCATTCGAAGATGTTAGAAGGTTTCCGACGTTTACTCTAGTATCTTCGTATAAGTCACTGTTTCGGCGTTTTCCCGTAAATCTTCGTGGGCGTGACACTCAATTAGTGTGTGGTTAGCCGAGTCTGACACCTCGCAATACCAGCATTTAGGAGAGTCAGCTTTGCGGATCCTGTGCAGATACTAGCCAACTACTCCATGACCAGTCATGGCTTGCGTGAGGTAGTAGTCCGTGTTTACTTGGTCGCATTTTATCCAATTTTTAATATTGGGTATGAAAGTCTTTGTCCATCCGCTATATGCTTCCCATCGTGTCTGCCATTGCTCTAGTACCATGTTTCTGGCCTCTTTCCGGAAGAAAGGTCCATTTTTATATATTTGATTTCTTTCCTGGATCAGTAGACTGACTGGATGTATCTTAACAAGACACAGTACCGCTACTGTTGGACATGTGCAGTATGCCGATGCAACCCTGAGTGCTAACTTCCTATTTATCCTTTCTAGCATGTTTTCGTAATGCTTGAAACGCATGGATCTGTCCCAGATCGGCGATGCGTAGAGTATGGTCGAATGAACTACCGAAGCGAGAAGTCTTCTTTTTTCCACGCGAGGTCCTCCGATATTGGGAGTTATTCTCGTCAGATGCTGGATGATGCCAGTCGTTTTATCCCTGATTTCTATGACGTCTGAAGTCATTCGCATGCCCGAGTCGAACCAAACCCCCATGTATTTAACTTTCTTTTGAGGTTTTATAACTAAATTATCCAACTTTATGCTTAGATCTTTTGCCTTGCGTTGTCCAACGAGAAAAAAAAAACGAGGAATTAAGAGACCTAGAAGAAGACCTAATTTGAGATGGGAATATTAGGATATTAGCAGGGATAACTTGGGTTTGCATGGCCAACAATAGACACCAATGGGCCGAACTACAAAAAGAGTATCTAAATATCTCAGAGAGGCTACATCATAATTGGAAATGGTTGAATAAGCAGTGTATCTTTATGGAATCTGTGCTCGTCCTGCCCCAGAACTCAAGAGTCGCCACTGCGTGAACTATAACTATATATATGTATATATTTGGGATTAACCTTATAAGAATACAATTACTGTACTATGCAGATCATACTCAATCGCCCAGCCATCTCTGTCGAACACGAGATCTTCTTCGATACTCCGATGTCTCATCGCCTATCGTATACCATCGTTCCAGGACAGACGGGGGCGTTCCCTTTTGTTTCTTTCAGGGCGCGACGATTTGAATAGAAGTTTTGGCTATATTGTGTCCTCCATCCACATTAGATGACCAAACCATCTCAAACCTCTTTCCTCGATTCGTTGTATTACTGTTTCTTGTGCCGATGTTCTGTTTCTAATTTCCTTGTTTCCCACTCTTTGTAATCTGGACACTCTAGCGCTTCTACGTAAGTAATCTCTACAGCCAATACTCTCCGTTTATCTTCTTCTCTTAAGACCCTTATCTCACTCCCATAAGGCCGATTCTACTATTGTTGAGCAATATATTTTTTCTTCTTTATACTAATATGTTTGTCCACCAGATTGAGTTGAGTGCCCCTACCACACTCCTCGCGTTGTGAATTCTCTGTCGTATCTCTGTCCTACCGATTCCATCTTTATCAACTATAGCTCCTACATATTCGAATGTGTCTACCTGTTGAATTTCTGTCTCAATGTCAATTAGAATATCAAATTTGGCGTCGAAATTTCTTCTAAACCCCATTCCTGATACTCAGTATATAGTCTTATATGTCAAATATAGTCTTATAGTATATATGTCAAAGGAATCTTGAGGAAATACTGCTTGATCGTCTGCAAAATTAAGTGTCAGAAGATCTTCCTCATTAATTGGAATTCCAATTCCTGGACATGATCTCTTTCACCTCCTAAGAGCTATATCCAGGTAAATATTAAATAAAAGAAGGGATAAGTAACAATCTTTTCTGAGACACTTTGTTGTACATACGGGTTCCGAGAGTTTCTTTCCTTGTTTTATATAACTGATATTATCGGTGTACAGTTCTTTGATAACTTCTATTAGATGCTGGCTAACCCCAATAGTTTCTAATGCCATCCATAGCTTATTTCTCGGGACATTATCATATGCTTTCTTAATAGGGGAGAGTAACCTAAGATGGGACGATTTTCTTAAAAATAATATCTTAATAACTAATCAAAATAAAACAAGTTTTTGTAAATGAACGAAACTTATACTCCGTAGCCAACAAACTTTGGTCATAAAATGACGTATAGAAGAAACAAAATACATGTAATTCCCTGATTTATAAAAAGTTTTTGTCCCATCTTAGGAAGATGGTCTCCTAAGAAGGGTCAGGAGGTTGCCTAAGAAGGGACATTACTTTTCACAATGGGCACATGTGAGATACAATTCATCCATAATTCCACAAGACTCATGAGCCCACTGTGAACATTTATGGCAATTATACCAGTCTCCTCCACTCATCATATAATTATCTCCACAGACACGAGACGGTACGTGCTCTGTCATCTTCATCAGTAACATTCTTTATGTTGCAGTCAATTTTATTCTGACTGCAGCTTTGTTTTCTTACACCTTGGGCACGACCGTTATTGAAAAGTATATTTTTAAGACTGTTTATTATTTTATTTACTTTTGGCGTCTGCTGGGCCTCCAGTTGGTTTTTGTATTGGGACTCTGTTAAAATAGTAGACTTCAATTATCTCCTAGCTGTTTGTATTTTTTTCGTTTGTCTTTAACTATCGGTAAAGGACTGATGTCAATAATTTTTACTTATAAAAATACGAAAAATGCGATTTGTCGGAGGCATACGAAATGAAGAAAAGAACGTTGGAAGAACAGATTTCTATCCAAAAATAACCGGTTTCCCAAGTTGGGGCGTCCCAACTTAAGAAATTTGAAGTGTCCCATCTTGAGGAATATGCACTGATTCATAAAAAAATATAACCTATTTTATAAACACAACCTGTTGCAAAAGTTTCTTTCTGGAAATATTATTACAGTAAACCACACTTATAACCCGCGACCTTAAAAGGTCTAAGCTACTTACCGTCAAGTCAATATACGAAGTTGTCCCGCTAGCAAATATTTTTAAAAATCTTCCAAAAATTAAAAACTAGCTGTCCACTCTACACAAATATGACTAGACAAGCCATCTTCTATCTGAAAGATGGCCGTACTATTAACTTTCCACTAACACAAATAGATGCCGCCGCAAGTCTACTATGCCTTAAAAAAATTACTGTCTTTTCTTAGGAGACCGTCCCATCTTAGGTAACTCTCCCCTATCCACAAATGGTGATAAGTATTTCTTCATTTTCTCAAAATTAATTTTTTCGAATATTTTTTTCTGCTATTTGTTGTATGACAAATATATTGTCAAGTACATGACCAACCTAGAATAAATCCATTTTGATCTTCGGATATAGAGTTTCCAACTTCTAACTGAGTTATAACTCGTTCCGTAAATTATAACATTTTTTTCTAATTACATGATATGTCCATTTTATCAATGAACACATTATAACACTCTGATAAGAGTGATCATAATACACACAACTTTTTTGAATGTTGGAGGTATGTATTTTTATCACATGTGTTATTTGGATTTATAGTATTACAATAAAAAAAAATATTATTTTACTCTCTCTCTCTCTCTCTCTCTCTCTCTCTCTCTCTCTCTCCAGTTGTTAATCGTCTAAAACAGAATAACATATATTTATAACAGAATTAAGTCGTTAAGTGATTAATATTTGCTTATCATTAAGTTGTGTAAGTCTATGTTTAGAACAAATTTAATTCAAGATTATTCGATCACCTTATATCGATATTTGCAATCTAATCATGATGCTTCGGTTTTATCTAAGTTAAAGCAGCCACATACATACAGTTTTTCCTCAAGGCAAAACTGCACAGTCGAGGCTCTGAGGATTGTTTCAGTTCATGACTCTCGCATATAGCAATTTGACGCTTTGATGGTAATTGGTTGGCGTCAATTGTATACAATATTATTTGACGCTCCACGCTTCAAACAGTCTTTGGGATTTTTTTCGGTACACTTCTCGGTACACTTCTTAGGTAGATCTACAAATTCATGTGATTTAACTCCACCCCTCCCATACAATCTACAACTTCTCTTTGTAAAATGAACTATAATAATTTACAAAATTATTATTTTTTTCTGTTGATCTCGCATATCCGGCATTTTTTATTCCAGTGCTAGCAGCATTTCTTACAATAGGATTGCCAAATTTAAGGCACACTTTCGTATATTTAAAAAAAATATATTCTTTTATTCTCTCTCTCCCTCTCTCTCTCTCTCTCTCTCTCCATGATATACATAGCTGTTAATCGTCCAAAACAGAATTCCATATTTATTATAGAATTAAGTGATTAATATTTGCTTATCATTAAGCGTGACTATGTTTAGAACAAATTTAATTCAAGAGTATTCGATCACCCCACATCGATATTTGCAATCGCATGATGCTTCGGTTTTACCTAAGTTGAGGTAGCCACATACATAGAGTTTTTCCTCAAGGCAAAACTGCACAGTCGAGGTTTTGAGAATTGTTTCAGCTCATAACTCTCGCATACAGCAATTTGATGCTTTCATGATTGGTTGACGTCAATTGTATACATTATTATTTGACGCTCCACACTTCAAACAGTCTTCTTTGGGATTTTTTTGGTACATTTCTCAGGTAGATCTATAAATTCACGGTGGCCCCTCCTATACAATCTACAACTTCTCTTTGCAAAATGAATTTGAATAATATAGAAAATTATTATTTTCTATATTACACTTTCGTATATTTTAATGGAGTCTTTCACAAATTGACGGTTGATATTTGCAAAATAATTGTGGTGGGTAGCGGAAAACTGGTAGATTAACTAACGATACCACCACACACCCAAGGTTTGGCCTGTTCAGGCACTGTGCTGCACAATTCACAATCGTTTTTAAATAGGATTCTGTGGACTATCCACCGGCTGTGTCAAGGTCTTCACCATACATGTGGAGACATATTTCAAGATTTGGACCGCGCAGTCCAAACCATAAAGAATAACTGTACAGGGTGGCGCCTCTCATTCGCCGCGGAAGCTCCAAGGAGAACGGTAGTTTATATCGAAATGAAATTTTGGCAGCATATGTAGGTTAACTGAAAGCATTTTATAAAAATATATAGAATTATACAGGGTGTCCTCAAAAAAAGTTACACATCAAAGTTGTTTTTTTTCTAATGGAGCACCTTATATATTAATTGATTTTCGGATTCTAGGAAAAAAATAAAGGTAAATTTTATTAAAGAAGCATATACTTAAAATCTAAGGATTTTGACATATTTCACGTTTTGTGAAAACGAAGAGTAAATTTTAAATTTCGATAACAGCTACATAAATTTTAGTTGCCCTTGTATAGCCTGATATTTAATTACAGTAACCATTGTATGTTAAACCAAATTGAAATTTGACCCGAACAGTTATATAGGGTGAGACAAAATTATTATGGAACATTAGTCACATTTAAAAGCAACTCCTTACTCCTTTATTTTAAATGGAACACCAAGTATATTTCTCCGGTGTTCAATGGGGAATTTATATATCTTCAAAATATTATTAAAGTTACCTACCCCTCAGACAAAGATTTTTCCAGATATTTTAATTTATATGATTTTGTGTCCGTAACCTTTATTATTTGAAAAAAAAA